TCAAATCGTTCGCGCCATATGATAGTTTAATTGTACAAATTCTTACCGCCCATAGCCGTGCGTATATTCCTATGTGCGATACCGCGCGTAGATATTTGCTAATTAATTAAACCACTCGCGCTTCAATATAAACTCAAAATTCACAGAGATTAATTTTATAGCTAAGACATGTGTCCATGTGTATCTAGATTTCTAGAAATGTTACTCAAATTGTTCGCGCCATATGATAGTTTAATTGTACACTTTCTTACCCCCATAGCCGCACAAGATAATTGAATAAGTAATTCACAAGATAAATGCGTTCCACTCTCCACTCGCTCGCAGCTGCAACATGTGTTTTTCACGTGTTGCATGAATTAGTCAGTGGAGCTAGACTAGAGGTTATTGTAGTAATAGTCTATAGCTGCGTTCACACGAGGATTTTAGTCTAGGGTCCCTATATTTATCTAGGGTCCCTATATACAAATGATCCCTTTGTATATAAGTCTATCTAGACACAGCGTCGCGCATCTTGTTGCGGCTGCATTGTTACAGGTTCTGGTTCTGGTCGCGAGAGAAAGCACACGCGCGTAACACGCGCGTGTGCGTGGTTTTGTGTCTCTTTGTGCGATGTGTCTATACTTACATCCTTATATATTATATCCCTTAATTACCTTATATCTCTTTGTATATAGGGACCCTATCTACACTGTGCCTCGTCTACACGACGAACCTTAACTCGAGTTAAGCTAACTCGAGTTAAGCGTTAACTCGAGTTAAGCGTTAACTCGAGTTAGCGATTATGTAGCGTCTACACGACAACACCCGTAGCGATTATTACCGATTTATTATGCATGCGTGCGTGCGTGTGTATGTAAACGTGCGTGCATGCGTGCGTGCGTGCGTGTGTGCGTGCGTGTGCATATGCACGTAGACATGCATGCATGCGTGCGTGCATGTGTGCGTGCTTGCGTGCGTGTGCACGTACACGTGCGTGCATGAGTGTGTGCGTGCATGTGCATATGCACCTGAACGTGCGTGTGTGCGTGCGTGCGTGTGCACGTACACGTGCGTGCATGAGTGTGTGCGTGCATGTGCAAATACACGTGTGTTATCTATGATCTCTGTGATTCTGGAGTTTATTGAAGCGCGAGTGGTTTAATTAATTAGCAAATATCTCCGCGCGGTATCACACATAGGAATATACGCACGGCTATAGGCGGTAAGAAAGTGTACAATTAAACTATCATATGGCGCGAACGATTTGAGTAACATTTCTAGAAATCTAGATACACATGGACACATGTCTTAGCTATAATCTCTGTGGATTTTGAGTTTATTGAAGCATGATTAGTCTAATTAATTACTATGGACCATTGTACAGCGTATTCATACAGCGCTGTACTTGAGCGGCAGCGGTGTGGATCACTGATCTTTATAATATCAGGGGCGGATCCAGAGGGTTTGGGTGACCAGTTTCCATAGTTCTAGTCTCAGCTAGGGGGTTCCGAGGGCATGCCCCCCCCCTCCGGGAATTTAAAAAAAATTAGGCTAATTTGGTGCATTTTGGTAAATTTTGAGGGTCAATTCTGTAGATACCCAGCCTGTGACCGGTTTCTGGAAACCGGTGCAAACCGGCCTAAATCCGCGCCTGAATATAATCGAGACTGTATTATAGAGATCAGTGGTGTGGATCCATTTGGAAACAACATGGCGTCCAGCGATCACGTGACCGATTTTTTCCGACTCGTCATGGCGCAACTCTCTGCAGGGACAGAAAACGCATTAATCGCGCAGAAAACGCATCTAAGGGGGTCTAATTTCAAACATTTCCCCAGACCCCCCCTTCGCGTGCTCGCAAGTTTGGGTTACGGTTAGACCCCCCCTGGTATAAATCCTGTACACGCCCCTGTAGGGACCCTCAGGCGCGCAAATCCATTTTGAAATGTGGGGGGACACCAGTAGCGAGCACGCGAAGGGGGGAGGGTCAGGGGGGCCTCCCGCAGCAAATGTCTTTTTAAATTAGACCCACTACAGCATTGCCTTTCTTGCGGGGCGAAGCAGCGGGAGGGGTCCGGACCAGAACCGAGCACGCGAAGGGCGGGTCGGGGAGGCCCTCCCCACAAATTTTTTGGGAAATTAGACGCCCCCTCGAACGGTGCGATTCCTGGCGGCGAGCTAGGAAGGGGGGTGGCAGACCCGCCTGACCTCCACCAGCCGCCAGTACACAAACAGCTCCTGTACACACACACACACACACGGGCCAAACACAACATCCATTCCAAACACACACACATGTCACCACTTTCGTTGTTTGTGATAAGATTACAAAAAGGGACAGTCCACATGGCAGTCATAAAATCAGGAGTGTTCAATTGATACACTCCTGATAAATCAAGTAAACAAAAGCAGAAACAAATCATTTGTGTCTGAGCGCTGATCACAAAATATAATTGCGTCCGTTATTATTGTTGGTCCAGTCAATCACTATATGCGTGTATTACTATTATCATGCAATTTTGGCAATGAAAATTAGACATTATTAAAACCGATGCTCAGTTACCAGTGTCTCTTTGGGCGTTGAATAATAGCTCGTGGTTCCAGCTGTAATCCTTGAAATGCACGTGTCTAATGTGAGTGATATGCTCCTAAATTTCCATTAAACATACTGGGTCTTGCTAGATACTTCTGCATAAGACAAGTTTATTTAATATAGACAAAAAAAGCGTGTTAAAAAAAGGAGCAACGCGTACTAAATTGAATCAAGGACACATCTTTTCTTAAGTTGTGCATGATCATGTATTATGCTCTCAAATGCCCTTGAATGAAATGCAAACTGAGCGAAAAAAAAGGGAAGAGAGCCACTGTGACATGCACTATCACACACAAAAAAAGGTTCTCACTTCACAAACACACACACACACACCAATGAAGTGATTCAACTTTTTTTCTACACCCCGGCGTCATTTACAATAAATGAAAATATTTGATGGAAGATGTGGTCACGATGCACACATCACACACAACACACAGCAAACGACACTCAGATCGTTGTTCTTGCAACACACAACTACAGATTCGGGGCATGCCGTGGTAGGGCTGCGAGCAGACACTGTAGCGAGCACAAATCATAGAGTGATAATGCGTGGGGACAGTTGAGGTAGGATGTCCCCTCTGAAAATTCGTTGGGGAGGACTGACCCCTTGTACCCCCTCTGGATTTGCGCCCTACCCTATACCATTACCAATTTACCATTACCATACCATATCCAATAGCGATATTCCATCACCATACATACGATACCCATACATACCATACCCATACCCAATACATACCATACGATACCATACCAACCGATACCAATACCATAGGCTATAGCGTACGCGCGGGGGGGGATCAACCGTATCTGCAATAAGCCTGTATAGTGACGCCACATGTTCGCGTGAGCCTGAAAGTTATTAGATTTTAATATTAACACGTTCCACAACACGGTTGTATTAGTCCGATCTTTAACAATTATATTAATCGATAGAAGTATTACATCACCCGCGGCACACCAGCCGATTTTTACTGGGCCGATTTGATCGGCCCCGATAAGAAATAAGCGCATATCGGTAAAGGTGGCGCGTTCATTTGTTAGATTAAGATTTTTATCTTTTATCGGTGATGCGTCCCAAAATACAAAGACATCTTGTTTGGAGATTTTGAAAGTCTCGATGAGGCAGATAGCCGATTAGAGTTGCCGATCTTTTAAGGACGCCATTCCTGCAACCTACGCTAACAGTGCCGGCTTATCGCTTCCATCGTCTCATCGTTTGTAAAATCGGCTGGTGTGTGCGGCGGCGTTTCTGTTATGTGGGCGACCGAGTCCACCAGATAAGATAATGTGGGCCTGCCGCAATAATTACGTGGCAGCCGCCAGATAAAAAAAAATCCACCTTGGCACCAACGGGCTTCCGTAAATTACCAACGTACCTACCCGTTTACTTTCCTGCCATATTGCAAACTGAGAACAACAGTGTATAAAAACGTAAATAAACAGTAGTTCTTCAAAAATTGCCGAGTTTCAAAGCCGGCAAAGTTTCCCCCGTCAACCACAGGTGTCGCTAGTCAATTATCAAGGAATATGGAAGATATTGATAAATGAACCAGAGGGCAGAAGCATGGCTGATTTCAAATTTGCTCAGAGAATCAGCTGCAGCGAATTTGCGAAACTGTTGATGTAGTAATACTGCAAAGCTCCAATGTCCAACATGCATTAAACTAGGAATCCCAGGGTCATATTTCTGCTCACAGGTTCGTGTTAATGTATAGGTGCCGAAGTGTTCCAACGCACTGCATTACCGCTGCCTGCTCTCGCGGCGCGACTGTTGCACGCTTTAGCAGCGCTTGCACTAATATACGAGAGTGCAAGCGTGAATAGTAGAGAGTGAATATAGAGGAGTGCAAGCTCCTTCTAATATTAGTCCGCAAGCCGTGCAACAGTCACGCCGCCGAGAGCAATGCAAGCCGGTAAGTGCAGTGGTTGGAAACTATCGGCGTGTACGCCGTAGGTGAAAGAGAGTAGGCGCTGCTAGAATAGTATAGAAACATTAAGAAATTTTGTACTGAAAGTAGAAGTAGATTTCGTATTTAGTTCGCATTATACTTTATTGAAAGCTTCAAAGTGGCCCTGTGCAGGTACGGTCGGTAATAAGCGAACGTATATATATCCGCTTCATGTAGGCGTAGGCCGACTTCCTAGACTCGTTAGTGAGTAGGCTGATCTCTTTTTAAGAATAAATTTCGACTCGTTTAATCAATTGTCTTTAGTATACGAGACCGCCTAAGATATCTCCGACAATAATTCTAGTCGCCATAATAACCACTTTTATATTTCTGGTGAGGTTATATTGGACAGAAACGGGGTTCATTGAAAAATTTCGTGGAGAATCGCAATGACAGAGAAGTCAGTGCTGCTGAGCATGAGCCCGTACGCCGCTAATTGGCAGCGAAACAAAAACGCCTACCGTTCCTTCTACATGGCTTGACCGTTCTACTGTCAGTACTGGGAAATGTGTATGACATTTTACTTCAATCGTTATTCAACGATTCTTAAAGAGATTGTTTGTTTAAATAAACACGCGGCTTCGTTAACTTTCCTAAATTACATCGCATTTACAAACAACACGATCAGACCCAATGCTCACAGCGAGTCTATCAGTTATCCAGGCCTCCTGCGCGCGGCACCGATAACAAGCTTTACAAGCGGAGAACAGGGGCTATGTACAGAGACGGTCTGTATTTGGTCTAGATGTGTTTGTAAAATGGCGAATCGTAATTAGAAGAGTCTAGTAACGAAGGCGGTGTGATAAAAACAAGTCTTTTTAGAAAGTTGAATAACGATTGAAGTTGAATTGTAAAAGCGACATATCAGTTAGCAAGGTAAAGCCATGTAAGAAGAGGAAACGGTAAAAGGTTTTTTTCTCTCAAGCCCAAGTAGCGGCGTACGAGGCCGATTCTCAGCGCACTGCATTTTGCATCGAGTCTCAACGAAATAGTCAATGAATGCCGCCGTCTGTCCGAATATACACCGCTCCACCAAAAATAAAAAAGGTATATGGGACAGAATTATTCGGTCATAGTGTCTCCTAGACTGCGTTAGATGGAGTAGAGCAGACCTCGCCCTAGACTCGTTAGTGATGTAGGCGGACTCCCCTAGACTGTAAGTGCAGAGTAGGCGAGGTACGGTCCGGCATAATCGATAGTACCAGGTTACGTTCGCGAATATAATCGAAACCGTACCAGTTAACTCTCTATAGTACGCGCTGGGACATAGAGATCGCCTCTCAGCTAAATCCTAATGTATGCTTATATTTGTCAGTATTTGTTCAGTTATGTATGCAATGTACTAATGACAATGTGTACTATTAGTATTACTTAATTATTTATACTAGTGCACGAAGGGTCGTTGTCGTATCAGGTACTACATCCTATGTAACTTTTTCGAGTAGTTCTTGATTGAGGTTTTAGTATTATGTTTAATATTTTTATATGAGGTATGTTTAGGGTCTATGCGGTAGCACTTCTGTAGGTACAATGACAACTTATGTAGTATACCATATAGTATATTTGACTCGGTGCATTATGAATGTAGTAAGCGTGATACGACAACGACCCTTTCAGCATTACTAGTGTCAGTATATGTAACACGTAACAGTGTAATGTAAGTTATGACTTGTCAAAATAGGGTAATGATGCCTGGCTGCTGGTGATCGAGTATTTAATGCATTTTACGATTTAATACAATGTTAATGATATTGAAGGATTATTGTGCATTATTAATGTTCAATAATTTACTTCGGAGTGGCTGGAGGTACGGTAGCCGTCGTTTGTTGAAGCCCCTTTTTGGCGTTTGTTTGAGGGCTGAGGCAAATATATTTGCAATCTTGTGATGTAAAGTTTACAATAATGTTCATTTTCATACCTAATCCGAGTGTTTCTACTTCTAGCTCATCAAAACTCAAATCGTGAATTTATTTCCCAAGGCATTATTTCGAAATCTACCGCCATCCGCCGCCATCTTTGTCTCGTTAAGTATGAAAGCGAATGGACTGCCGTACCTCCAGCCTTGTAACGGCTGCCGTACCTCCAGTCACTGCCAATTTAGTTGGATTTAAACACTGACACTGTCACTGTCACTGATGAGTGATGGTGATAGTGATTACTAATCAGTGGTATCTCACTACTAGTGTCTGTACAGTGTAACTGTGTACTCTCATGTACTACTACATAATATGTACAGTAACTTTTAATATAGCAGATATAAGTCTATAAGGTCACCATGCACCTTTACACTTCACACAGGATTGTTTTAAAAAAAGCTGGAGCACACACAAGCAGCAGCACAAGAAAGCAAGTGAGTATGGACATTGACATTTTATGTTGAAAATGTTAGAATTACCGAGATTGACAGTATACATATATATGTTCATGATACACATATTTTTATTTTATATATACAATATGTACAATATATTGTATTTCAGAAGGAGCATCAATATATGATCCTTGGCCAGACTTCACATTTAGTGGAAAGCTGAGACCATGGCCCGTAGTAAGTAGACCTTTGGATTATTCCAATATGTTTTTGTAATCATGTAGTTATTTATATTGGAATTATGTGTTTTTGATCCCAGTACTAATGCTTACTATGATAACTGTGTTAACAACTACAATGATTATTTCAACTATTACATCTTTGTCTTGCTATATACCTTTGTTTTTCTTTATTCAGACACCAAAGAGGGCAGTGCCAGATAATATAACACGTCCAGACTATGCTAACGATTCAAAAGGTGTGCAGTGTTGATGTATTTATAGAAATTTATACCTGTCATCTGTTGATGATGTGTAACAATTCGTAGCCTTTAGAACTACAGCGAATGTAAATTTAAGAAAGAAATTTAATTATTGTACGAAAAAAATGAAAAACAACGCATATCTTTTGTATTAAAAGGCCAAATAGGATAACCAACCGCTCTGCGAATGCATATTTGTATTTAGGAACGCCACATAGTGAATTGGCAGCCAGGGGAACCTCACAGATACTCGTGCTATCTGATGAGGACCAGGAGAGTCTGCGAGTAGCTTGTAAGGTGAGATAGGCGTCTTCTTTTGGTTAACAGGCAACGTAGTCACTAAAGAAGAACTAAAAGTAAAGGAAAGCTGCTCATAACACACCCTAATGTAAATTCAAAAGTAACTCTTAACATTTACAAGTGTCGAATGTAAACGTTGTACAGATACGTTGTGTCGACATCTGCCGTAACGCTCCTTCACATGTACTGACCAGCAGAGAATTGGTGTAAAGGTTCTTGGCTGCGGTAGTTGCTAATTGCGTTAACTCTGAGATTTCAGCTTGGCCGGGAAGTGCTAGACATAGGGGCTGAGGCTGTCGCTGTCGGCGTGACAACAGATGAAATCGACAGGCTAATACATGAGGTGATTATATAAAATTCAGGTGTAAATGGTCGATGAGTGACTCTGCTGGTAATTACATCAGATTCATCTCTGATGAATATTCTTTAAGTTCTGCAGAATGTTGTGAATCATGTGCTCTATGTAATGCCGATCAGTGTTAATGGTAGTCTTTCTCAAGCTAAGTCAAGAGTACCGTAGTATTGCAATAACATGATAACACTGTGCAGGGATGCAGGTCTCGACATATGCATTTGGTACTTCTGACAGGAGAGAGAAATTTGATTGTGTAATTTTACATGTGAAGTCTGCATTCATGCTAAAAAGCAGTCGTGCACGGAGTGACGACTTCTAGAATTGCATCATGTATTCTTCCAGGCGACTATCGATAGAGATTGCTATCCATCTCCACTTAACTATTATAGGTTCCCAAAGTCCTGCTGCACGTGAGTACATACCCTGCAAAAAATCCTTGACTTTACGTGGTTTCAGTTGTAACAATGGTTAGCTCTTAGCGATAATGGTTAGCTGTCATTATTCAGCGATAAATGTTTAATTGTTCTGATCATGCATGCTTGCAGTGGTACTTCTGAGCACAAGACTGAAGGATGCATTCGCTCCTCTGTAACAGGGAATTCCTAAATAAAATAAAATAAAATGAAAGAGTGAGCCCTCTTTTCATGGTGGACCTGCATCTTGCATGCATCCATGAATTGATATATGGATTCTTTTTAGGTCTGTTAATGAAGTCATTTGCCACGGGATTCCTGACAAGCGGCCTTTAACCGATGGTGACATAGTTAACAGTGAGTGGCAACTTCATATATTTTCTCCTTACAAACAGAGTAACCATGTAGTGCTCATTCAATAATGAGTAATGGGCATTTACATCGTGCATTAGATACACATGTGTTCCAGTTATATGCTTTAAAATCATTTTAATTTCAAGATAAATCGTAAATATTTATTAATGCAAGAGTTTTCGGGAAAATTTAGATTTCACTTCAAAATCAAAAGATTTTACTCGATAAAACGAAGTCATTGGACGACGCCGTCCCGACGGCCAAAATTACACATCCGTTCTCGTCATTGGCATCTCTGCTTCATTGGCAGTCGACGTGACCGTTTACCACCGCGGTTTCCATGGCGACCTAAACGAGACGTTACTTGTCGGTAACGTCGACGACGTGACGAAGAAGCTCGTCGGTGTCACATGGGACTGCCTCGACTACGCGATGCAAGCAGGTAGGTGGCGAGCACGCAGCGCATATGCGCACTGCGTCTTACTTGATGATTCACCCGTGTGCACGAGTGAGATATCCATACTTGCCTTAAATATTGTTGCTATGTCAGTCATGCCCAACATATTCGTAGCCAAGCCACAATTAAAAAAATCTTTGTCTGCCCTCACCCGACCCAGGCTCAATAAAAGTTTGGGTAGGTAGGCTTTTTTTCTTTTTTTGAGGGGGGTCTTTTTACAAATTCAGCATGATTTCTACATGCTCGGGTGTACTTGTGTGGATATACCTGTTATGTTGAATGTTTGTTTTGCTTGGTACATAACGTATTGCCTACAGATTTATATAATGTGCACTGATACAATTTGTAAAAAAAAAAGGAAAAAGATCGATAAAAGTTTTTGAGTCGGCCCTTTTTTGGCGGGTCAGTCGGGTGAGGGCAAACAAACAATCTTTTTATTATGGCCCCATTATTTTTGTTTCATCGCGTCGCAGATTGGCTATAACCGCCGGTCGATTACTCAAGGTGGCTAGGTTGGCGTTACTCCGAGCGACGCCATTCGTAATTTGTGGATGATTTCACGATCTTTGCTACCGACTTGGCTGTAGTTCGTGGCTGGACGCTGGGCTGCCCGCCCGCATACACCTGAATCACGAGTCGTGCATGTGCGTGTTTCAGTGAAACCAGGCATGCGGTACCGAGACATTGGAGCCATCATACAGAAGCATGCGCAGGCCAACGGATTCTCCGTTGTGCGCAGCTACTGCGGACATGGCATCCACAGGTAAGCATGCATGTGGTGCCCCCTCGCAAGCACCTCCTGGGCCATGCAAGATGGCGACTGCACCCTTTGTGAATAATCGGATGATAGGAACTAAGATACATCTCTGGGGAGGTGGGTGGGGCATTGCGGCGTGAGAAGAATGAACTGTGTTCGCTCGCTAGACGAAATCGAAACGCTGTCATCGTGCCTCGCAATTTGAATTGAGTTTGCAGATTTCGTTGGTATTTGCTGTGGAGTTGCATTTTCTAGTTCAAACTATTTTGTGTTTCCGTCTTTCAGGCTGTTCCACACGGCACCGAATGTACCTCATTATGCCAGTAAGTACAGCCCTCTACTGTCTACAAATTCGTTGTTTTAATATTTTTCTTGTAGTAAAAGTTTTAGTAGGCAGTGCTTTTCATGTAACAGTATTGCTGGTACAATTGATTTTCTCTGTTGAACTTGCTTCATCTTTGAAACATTCTGTGCAGTATAGAGTTGAAAGGATTTCACGTTATGTTAAGCTTATTGAAACCCTCACAGTGGCTTCACACGTTTCCAACACTTTACATTTCTAGAATAATTATTGTTCTTAGTTGAATTTGCTTCTACATCATAACGTTTTCCTATAGCATATAGTAGAAAAGATGAGTTAATTATGGAATATTAATATATAATGTTGTTTTGATGCAGAAAACAAGGCTGTAGGCGTTATGAAGGCTGGACACTCATTTACTATTGAACCAATGATTTCAGAAGGTATGTGTACTAGTACTTGTTTGCACAATGTTTTATGTTCCGTTTTGCATACTTTTTGGCACAGAGTGGTTTCTCTTTAACTCGTGACATGTTCAGGTTGCATGAATGTATTTCGACTCGTGCACAGGTGTGTGGCGGGACATGGTGTGGCCCGACAACTGGACAGCAGTGACTCAAGATGGCCGACGCTCAGCTCAATTCGAGCACACCTTACTTGTGACAGACACGGGTGTGGACATTCTCACTCAGCGCCCGGGAACAAGCCGGCCTCACTTCATGGACCAGCTAGGCTAGAAAATTATATTGGTTTGCGCATTAGGTTTGGATAGGAGTACTAGATTTAGGAATAATAGCTGAATCGTTGTAGATCGCCGTGCACTCATACGTGACATCTCTCATTTGCGATAGGTTCTCAATGTAGGATTTGTAACAATAATGTAGACATTTGAAAGCAGCCATGTGTCTAGGTTGCCACTGGGTGGCGCTGGCTTGTCAGCTGATAACTTATCATATAGTGTTTGAAAACTATTTAAAAGGGATTTTGACTTCTATTGTTTATATAACGACGGTCATTACTTCTAACTTTTTTTCTGTTTTACCTTCCAATATTTCTTAATTGCATCTGCACATCCGCCTTTGTTAACGTACCTTGAAGCTAATAATATAAACTGAGCCCACTGCTTTCAAAATCACATGAAAAATACAGGACAAGTGATACTTAGAATGTTATTTTAATGTTTTTGTAAAAAAGTGTTCAGTGAGAGACAAGTCGAATTAAACTCTGTTATCACATGCTTCATACTGCTGGGATGTTTGTGTCCAACAATATCTTGTGACTTGAGATTTTTAATAAAGTTTTGATGCTAGAGGTGAAATGATTATTCTGCACATATTCAGTGGTAGATTTCGATGTCGTCATGAACATGTCTATACAATATAGTATAGATATGTTTATGTTCATTTTAAGTTTATAATATTGTATATATAGATAAGTTCTCCTACAACTAGTCTAGATATGTTCATGATATTCTGTAGGCAAAAAATTTGTCACGAAAACGCAAAAGCTCCTTTATCCACCCATGACGGCACCGCAGTACTGCGAGAGAAGTAACGGACAGATCGAAACACATGCTGCAACATTATCCAGTTGTTCTTAATGATGTTCATATACCACTCGACTAACTACAGAACGTAATATCTACAATAACAATAACAATAGATCTATCATGCTGGGAGACGTGGAATGACGCTGTATAATCCTATTCCTGCTATTACAGACTAGTACGTGCACACAATTCTACCGATTAACTTCCAACATCTTGCAGCGATTGATAACACTGCTCGTCCCTCCACGGCAACATGTATTGCAGTCACGAAAACCCGCGCCTGCTGCAACTTTGTGCGTTCGGTGTCTAGGGGACCCAGCAGGCCCCGCGCCGCACCACGTCACGCGAACACGTTTGTGCATGAAAGTGAAGTCATCACATTTGTTACTTTATTTACAGATTAAACGTCTATTTATCACAGATCACTTTGGCGACGCCACGTGCGCCTCCGACGAGATTCACTCACTCCACCACGTGCCTTAACTCCCTTACCGCCACTGACTAATGCACTCATGTACTAGATTTAACTTCTGTTTTAAGTAACTTGGATGCAGCTTCGACATACAACTTTCTGTGCCCTCGGCAGACGTACATATTCACAGAATTCAAACGCAAGAGCTGATACCCCTGGGTTCCAATTATAATCCTTTTTTTAAATAATTATTAGTAAATATGATTCACTGTTGGAAGAATGATTGGGAAAGACGAGGAATCTATATGAAAGCATGGATCCATCACCATTCAGTTACACTCGCTATCCTCAGTCCCATTTATAAACAATTTTACAGTGCCCAATGTATATGATAATCACATTGTACATCGAAAATACATGTTGGTATGGAACCATCTGCTTTACATATTTACTGCATTATGAAACTGACATTCGATCATTTTAGACAAATTCAAATGATCATCGCAAGGTCACATGCTGCTGCAATACAAACGCAAAAAAAACGGCTAAAAACGATAAGGATCTCGCCGCTCCCCGGCGTCTCACGCGCCTCGCCGCTCCCGGGCGTCTCACACGTCTCGCCGCTCCCCGGCGTCTCACGCGCCTCACCGCTCCCCGGCTTCTCACGCGTGTCTCGGGTGCCTCACCGCTCCCCGGCTTCTCACGCATCTCACGCGTGTCTCGGGTGCCTCACCGCTCCCCGGCTTCTCACGCATGTCTCGGGCGCCTCACCGCTCCCCGGTGTCTCACGCGTTTTGCTGCTGCGGCGCGGGCGTCTGCACGTGATCGCCGCTCTGCTGCCGCATCATCTCAACGAGTGATGAGATGACCGACAGGTGGCGCTCCAGTTCCTCCGCGTGCTTGCACAGACGCAGCGTCAACGCGTGCGCCGAGGCACCCCCTAGCTGCTGCTGCGCTTGCACCGAGGCGCCCCATAGCTGCTGTTGCGCATCTGCCAAGGCATCCTCGCCTGCCTGCTGCGCCCCCCACGTGTACAGTGGCGCCGCCTTGTGCTCGGGGGACGCGCCCATGCCGTCGGCGGGGCGCCTGTCTCTTGCTTCGACGGTGTTGTTAAGTTTCGTGCAGCGTCGGTCGCTGTCAAGGTCCGGCGTTAGTTGCTTCATTAGCTCCGCCTGACATAACCTGCGCACGCAGAATATGATGATGATAATGATGATGTTGAAGAGGAAGATGACACGACCGGTCTCTGCATGCGTGCGGCTGCTGGTGACACACAACTAGGTAACAGTAAACGCTGTAGTTGTAACCGTACGGTAGCTGGTGATCTTGACACTGCTGTCACGAACGCTCCGAATCCCATTTACGAATTATTACGAATTATTTCGAAGCTCTTGTCACTCTCAGCCTAGCATCTAACTTGGCCTTTATTGTCCAAGAGAGTGGCAGTTAAATATCGCAACGTGCGTGAATGGAGCAGCGTTTACAGATGGCACAGCGTGTATAAATAGCAGAGCGTGTAATGAATGGGGCAGCGTTTACAGATGGCACAGCGTGTACAATTAGTAGAGCGTGTATGAATGGCACAGTATGTGGGAATGCTGCAGCTTGTATGAATGAAAGAGCATGTAGAAATGACAGAGCATGTATAAATGACAGAGCATGTATGAATGAAAGAGCATGTATAAATGACAGAGCATGTATGAATGGCGCAGCGTGTGGGAATACTGCAGCGTGTATGAATGACTGGGCATGTATAAATGTTGCAGCGTGTATGAATTGAACAGCATTTATAAACGGCATAGGTGAAGAACAGACACAGAGCGTGCATGAACAGTGTGTACGAACATTAGAGCATGTTGAATGCGCGTATGGAACAGCGGAGCTTGTATGAACAACGAAGCCATACATGAATGGTATGTATGAACGAAAGGCGCACAGTATGAACGGTGCATCGTGAACAACAGAGGCATGTTATGAACGACAGAGCATGTATGAACGACGGCTCCGGAGCACGTATGAACGATGGAGCATGTGTGCAACGCATGTATGAACAATAGAGTGCATGTGGCGAACAAGCGTCACCTCATGTTGATCATCGCGGCAGTCATGTTGCCAACAGACGATGCTCGCCTCGCTCGACGTGTGCTGCAGACGCGCCACGCAGCGCCTGTCCTCCATGAGGCAGCCTCAACGGACGCTGCGCAGCTCCCGCTCCTGTAACACCTGCTGCCTTCATGCTTTCCAGTCGCGCACACACCTGCAATAGTTAACGTAGCTGTTACGCATTGTAATAGAAGTCTAGTTATAACACCTGTAATAGTTAACTAGCTTGTAACGACTTTTAATAGGTGATCTAGCTATTACACCTGTAATAGGTGTGATCTAGCTGTTACACCTGTAATAGGTGATCTAGCTGTTACACCTGTAATAGGTAATGTAGATATTACACCTGTAATAGGGAACGTAGCTGTGAACACCTGTAATAGGTAACGTACTGTAACACTGTAATAGGTTAAAGCTAGATTTAAATACACCTGTAATAGGTAACCTAGCTGTAACACCTGTAATATGTAATGTAGCTGTTACACCTGTATTAGGTAACGTAGATATTACACCTGTAATAGGTAACGTAGCTGTTACACTGTATTAGGTAATGTAGATATTACACCTGTAATAAGTAACGTAGCTGTTACACCTGTAATGGTAACGTAGCTGTTACCCTTTAATAGGTAACCTAGCTGTAACACCTGTAATATGTAATGTAGCTGTTACAACCTGTATTAGGTAACGTAGATATTACACCTGTAATCGGTATGTAGCCTGGTGACACCTGTATAGGTAACGTAGCGTTACACCTTTAATAGGTAACCAGACATGATAGGTGCAGTGGTACCTGATGGAGTGTGAATGGCCATTTCTTGCATTTCCGCCTCTAGCTTATCCGCATAAGCCTGCTCCGGCGCTTAGTAGAGGAGGCGGCGCGTTGCTATGCCAACGGGCAATCGCCGATGTTCATCTTTCTCCTTGGACACAATAATCTGATGTACAAATTACACAGAAAATCTTACAAACTCGCGTAGTTTAATAACCGTTTGACACAGATTTATAGCTGATGACATGCACGATAATGCATTGCTGAACTAACGGTGATTAAAGATGGAATCTCCTGTAAAGATCTCTATCATGAACACACCCCATCTCTCAAACCTCATGTAGTATGGTAAGTAGAGATAATGTATCGACCGTGTGCATCATACATTCATGTATGCGGAGGTGTGCGTGTGCTGTGTGTGTACGTGTGAGTCTGCGTGCATGAGCTTGGTGTGTACATGCGCGAACATTTGTGCATGCGTGCACGGGTGCATACATACACGCGTCTCTACGCGTGCACAACGGAAGTGCCGACTCACTTGCCCCAACTCACTGTACTTACTGAATTCCAACCTCCTTGAGATCGTTTTCGGTGAGCGTGAGAAACAGCTGCAGGTCAATGTCCTGCTCCACGAGCACGCCGTGATACTTCGACAGCCCCACCTGTCTCAGAAACGCCTCAAGATCCTGCTGCTGCTGCTCCTGCTCCTGCTGCTGCCGATGCTCCTGCTGGTGGTGGTGCTGCTGCTGCTGCTGCCTCCTGCTGGTGGTGCGCTGCTGGCTGCTGCTGCTGCTGGTGGTTGATGATTGCGCTGTGCTCCTGCTGGTGGTTATGGCTGCTGCTGCTGCTGCTGCTGGGTGGTGGATGATGCTGCTGCTGCTCCTGCTGGTGGTGATGCTGCTGCTGCTCCTGCTGGTGGTGAGGCTGCTGCTGCTGCTGGTGGTGGTCATGCTGCTGCTGCTGGCGGTGACGCTGTTGCTGCTGTTGATGATGGTGGTGGTCCAGCTGTTGTTGTTGTTGCTGCTGCTGCTCCTGCCGACTCTCCTTATCGTCCGGTGGCACAGGTTCCTTGGCCAGCGTGGGCAACGTGGGTGCGGGTGACGGCGGTGTGGGCACATAACCCGTGAGATCGCGTGTTGTCTGTGAGGAAGGAACGTTGGTGTTAGCCCGCGTGTGCTGTGAAATTCCCAATGCGCTACGCATGTGGAAATGGTTACGATGATCGAAATGATGCGCGCAAATGGTCGCGGAAATCTGTTTTAAATGCGCACCAGTTTAGCAGGCGATTCTTGCTCGGATAGACTGTCACCGCTAGGTATGCCCACCGCGGCCGCAAATCCTCCGCTAGAACTCGAACTACTCTTTATCGTGACGGCGCCCGTCTGAAGAAATGCGCTGACACCATTTTCTCCATCCTCTGAAAGCAACAGAGGCAAGCACACAATCAGCTTCCCGGCGCAACGCCCTGTGTACGCCCACGGCTCAGGCAAAGTTGGTGAGAAACATCATGATATTACCCACAAATTATGGATGCCGTCAGTCATTATTTAGAAGGTTTGTGATCTATTAATCACAAGTGATCTACCCACCTGGGGTGATCAACAGGTAGCTCTAGTTAATAAGTGTTGCGATAGGACATTCTAAAAACAACTCTTGGTAACAAACTGCTACAAAGTCAACATTTTAGGGTGCACCACGTACGAACTGCACGAGCATAATTGACCTCGCATTAACATCTAAGGTGAGGCATGGTTATCTCTCTAGGACGGATAAGTCAGATTATGCATTACTCATGACAACCAAATGGCTGCTGTCATTCAACTGCTAAATACCAAGAGAACGTGTCGTCTCGCCGAAAGTACTAACTCAGCCATCGCTCGACAGATTCACCGCGAATTTCGGCACGCACCCTTGCCTCCATCGCCGGCGCTGTGTGGGAGTCTCCGCTCCGTGTACGCCTGACTCGCCGTGACGATCTGGTCATTCTGGAATGTGACGTAGTCGCTCGGTACAAATGTCGGCACCTGCAGCGGCTGCCCCGGTGACGGCCATGCACCCTGCTGCGCCGGCGCCCCCTTGTGTTGCCGTGACTTCTCTATCAGCTGCTGCACGGCCTCTGGTCCGTCCCGCACGCTGGGGCCTGCTGCAGGTTGAGGAAATCAGAATGGCGATTTACGAACGTGAATCGGAAATGCTTCGCTGCATGAATTCTTACGATGAACGCATGATACCAAAGGTGACACTTTATCGTGTGAATAATACTTAAAATTATCACTGGGTTAATGAAATTAAAGTGTCAATGACACTGTAGCTCACCTTGGGTGTGATAAAAGATCGTGGGAGGGGGGATATATAAAGCAAGAGTATATATGGGAGAACTCCCATTATATAGCATATCCCCCATTATATACTCTTGATAATGATATATGCATAAGTTTTGATGCGAAAGATTTCAGATCTGAAAGTCTGAAATCTTGACGAGAGATGCCGCTACGCCTAAATGATCGCCATTTTGGTTTTCGAATATCGCGCAAATAAAAACAATAAAATATTCCAGTCAAATTATTGTAACGAAGAATCTAAAACACAATATTACACGTATATAGGTATGATTGTAGAGTTGTTGACCAGTTGGACAAAATAAACGTAATAGAACGTTGTCATCTCTTCCATAGGAGTAACAACTGTTTTGGGACTATAGCCTTACACATTCACATACCAAAATTTAACAAAATCGAATGAATTTAGATGGGCATTTTCATTTTTGCCAAAAAGTGGGCGTGGCTCGAAAGTAGGTCGACTGACGTGCTCCAAAATAGGAAGTTCAAATCTCTCCCATAGGAGTAACAACTGTATTCAATTTTAATTAAACATGTGGGTCAAATGGTTCTTGAGTTATCGTTGACCGTAGACAGACACTGAAATGCATAGTGAAATTGCCAAAATCTACCTAATTTGCATAATTTTAAAAAAATATCAAAACCCGTGTGATATGTTTAGGGGCCAGTCCTTATTCATTCACATACTATAGAAATGAGCAAAATCCGTTGAACCCTGTGACTTATGGCCATTTCCATTTTTGCCAAAAAGAGGACGTGGCTCGAATGTAGGTCGACTGGCGTGCTCCAAAATAGGACGTTCAAACCTCTCCCATAGGAGTAACAACTAAATGCAATTTGAAACATGTGGGTCAAACGGTTCTTGAGTTATCGTTGACCGTATCCAAATGTTGATGGACGGACGGACGGACGGACGGACGTACGATGGACAACACCCCATGGCAATAGCTCATCTTGACGATGTCAAGGCGAGCTAAAAATTGGGATGGAATTAAGGTTTTAGTGATCACCAACCTTTTGATTTACTTTTCCCAGATCTAGGGCTGTGTCGTGGGGGCTTGTAGTGCTGCTGCAATCGGTAACCTTCTTCTGACGAGCTGAGATCGGCTGGACCACAGTGCAGCCCTTAACGACGTCCATAATAATAACACGGTTTTATTTAAGACGGTTGCCAAATAAATATTTCGATCACTGTAGAAGATAAACGAACACAGCTACAAACGTTTACGATATATATTATATATATATGTTGATATATATATATATATATCAGAAATATGTTTGTAGCCAAACGTGTCTGTTTTATTAAATTACTGAAATTAATGGTTTCAAATCATGTTACACTTGCCTATAGTGATTTGTGAGTTTAATACATGCATCTTTTAAATCTATTCAGTTGGTATGAGATGGCAGCAAGCTGTGTTTAAACAGGTTTTGTTTTGTATGAGTTTGGTTGAACAATGACCATATAAGTAACATGGCATACCAGTCTCGTTCCGCAATGGGGAGTTTCCGTGCTCATATCTATCAATAAGAGTGACCACCTTCGTGTGGTGGTTGAGCAGGGCCAGAGACCGCGCAGTGTCCCCAACAGTGGTTCTGGCGTTCACATCTACACCCTGGAAAAATTAATCACGCTATCTATACGTCCACGTCTACGTACATCTCTACGTCATACGTACACATTGTTATGTCAGCAGGGCAACTGCAGTGCCATCTGCAGCCCAATTTCAATAACAACTGAGAAAATATAGATAATTGCATTATGTATCATAACCCTGAATGCTTCAAATATAAAGACAGTCAGTCACAAGTTCGTAATCACAAATAATTCAATGTCACCACAAACTTTATATCTCAATGGCATTGAGTGATAAACTTGTTGATTCCCCACGGTGCATTGGTAGAGAATCTGCATCCCCTAGAGATGGTCCAGGGCTCCCGCTACACACGTTTCATAATCCCAAATGACTCGCAGAGGAACGAGTGGAATGAAAATTAGGGTGCCATGTGAGGCTATATAGCTAATGGGATCTCAGGGACAAAGAATGCTTTGTGATCAAGCTTACGTGTTGCAGGAAATACTGAACAATGATCTCGTGTCCCTCGAGCGCTGCCAGGATAAAGGGAGTCATCCCATGATGTGGCTCCCTGCATCACACAGAAGGGATCCATGTACGAATAACATACCAACAATACAGTTACGTACGTAGTCCCATAATTGCGAGTCTCAAGCCATGCCCTCACACATTCATGGGATATTCGCAACATTCACGTTGTAGACACAATGGAAATACATAAATTAGGAAGTTGACGACACATTATAACGAAAGTGATAACCATAATACATAATTGTGAACCAAATGTAACAATATCAATATAAGTAACACATGATATGTAATATTATCAACACATGTAGAATGAATATATCAATATACATATACGTTCATGGTAATATTAAACTCTACAAAGTAATATGTGTGCATACACTGCGTTAGCATCAATGGAGTTTTCAAGAAGGAACTTCACAAAGTTCTGATGACCCGAGCTTGTGGCATGAAACAATGCTGTCCGTCCCTTGCTGTCTCTAGCTTCTAAGATTGCTCCAAACTACAAAGAAAAAATGTCATTACATCTTGGCTTCAAGGAGGTTGCTATATATCATACACGTATATCTATACTATGGTATATTATCGGATGTAGAGACAAGTACTCCTCCCAAAGTATGAGCATAATACCCCCCAGCAATGTAAATCTTTGCACATACGACATGGGAACTCCTCACAGAGTATGATAACGGTCTGCAAGAATGCGGGTATCTGATCTGAGACTGGTAGTCCTCCCAGAGTGCAATAACACTTAGAAAGAACACAAGTCAATACATCGAGATGGGCACTCCTCCTACAGTACGATAATACTATGTGGTGATGCCAAAAACAGAAGAGAATGCACATGGACAAATTCTCCTCAGTGCAAAAGGAGATGGTCGAAAGCAATCTCTGCAGCATGCTTGTGAATGCGTAACAGCATCATTGATGCGGAACACGTACTGACCTGTAGTAGAAAGAATCCGACGCTCTCGTTGCCACAGCTCGCTGCCAGCATCAGTGGCGTACATCCACTGTTGTTCTTTAGATTGACGTCGACTCCTGCATCAAGCAGTAGGTTCACGACATTGTCATGTCCGATGTAACTGGCATACATCAGCGCCGTCCAGCCTCCCTTGTTCTTCCTGTTCAGGTTTGAATCAGATTCCTGCCTGAACGAAGCAATAAATCACGAATATATCAGCACCTAAGAGCCTCATCTGTCAATTCTATAATGAAATGCAGTGTGGAACAATAGATATGAACAAAATATATTTTCTTGTTTCTACACAGAGGTTTCTTCTGAAACTTTCCAGAACAATGTGTTGGATATACCACCTTTAGGCCTACCTATTTTTTTACCATCGAAGTATACTAATCGTTATTATTATACCTAGTAATATATGCATGCACTGCATCATAATTCCCTAGACTAGCAGCTGTGTGCAAGTCAAATGGAATTGGGTCAAAATTTTCCGTTTCCACGTAGCACGGTCCTTTCCAAACAGATAGGCTGCGTTCCAACAGCTCACTCTCACTTGCCTCATCCGAAGCTTCGTAAGGGTAGTCATTTAACATGGTCAGTTTAGATCCACCTATGTACATATAACATATTGATCAGTCAATGAGTCAATGTGAGTCATAACTTCACTCATAAACAATAATAAACTCACCATTTTCACTTTTCAGGGCTGTTAAGCCCGACCACAAAGTAAATAAGTGTGCTAGTCATGCTTTTTGTGTATATATATCCTTGGTAGTTATCCAATTTTATGAATTCAGAATTTATTGTAAAAATATGCTATGTATTGCAGCGTTTCTTCTACATAGGAGGCACTGCGGCGCACCACCGTTGTCATGCAAATTTAACAACGCCGTTGTCAAAATGTTCCTGTATTTACCCGCCGATGTCAAAATAGTGTCAATCAAAAAATAAATAGATCACCGCGTGCTTCTGACTATATACATGGAAAATCGTAATGAAATTCATAGCAACGTTTCTTTTTGCGTGCCAGCACACTCCTGTGTCATTCCAGATTGCAGCGTTTTCCTCGATTCCGGGAAAGTTTTGCTGTCGCTCGCTATCCCTCATACCAGCAGTGCCCACCCCTACAAATACAGCAATAAGCATGCCCACGCGACTGTAACAATCGGTGCATTCGCCCCCCCCCCCCCGTACTTCAATCAATGCCGCCCCAGCCAGCAAGCATGAGCCACGATGTGCACAGCCACGGACGTGGGTAACAGGGGTGTCGCGGGCTGCTTTTTTCGGTTTTTTACTTTTGCGTGAATGCATGAGAATGCGTAGGGCATGCGGGAGTGCGGGAGAATGGGAGATTCTCACGGCTGCGCATTTCGCGAGAGACTCACGCATCTGGA